TCGGTCGGAATTCACAGTTAACTATATGCTTGCCTGTCATCTAATGTCTACTCAAATGTAATAAAAAATTACAAGTTATGAATTATAGGGTCTTTACGGGTTGTAATGTAGGCTCTTTGGACAAGGTGGGATACAATATGGTTAAGTGACTCAATATCTCTTCCCCAACCATAACAATCTTTTCCGGTTTTTAATTACCGGACCTCAACAACTTATCCAAAAGTTACAACTCCAATCCCCAAATGATGTAAATGATTGAATATTTTTATTTTATATATATATATATATATATTTTTATTTTATATATATTTTTTTTTTTTTTCGAGAGAACAATTTTTCCAAACGCGAATATTTATACCGAAAATATACTTCTCGTATTCTCGCGATCTCTTCAATAAATATTTTTTTTTTCTTTTTATTTTATTTTATTTTTTTTATAAATATTCAATCACATACCTCAGCAGTTAATTCCAACCGCAATCTCGTCCAGTATATGAACATCAACTCCAACAGCTTCCCAATAACACCAAGGTTACAAGAAAAATATTAATAAGGCTCAAACTTGGGCTACTAGGGAAATTGTTATCAGGACAAGAAAAACGAATAAAAGGGATATACAAAAACTGCCCTAATCATTTTCACAACAAATAATTCCCAATTTCCATCATTTCAACATAGTCTCAAGGCAAGTTCTAATAACATATGAATTTGACCGATATCCCTCAAGAAAATAAGGCACAAATCTCACACTGAAATGTTATTACAAAATGTTCCACGTAGTTCAAAGGTCATGCAATTTTTAGTCACCATTTCAACATCTCGAGTCAATTTAAACAGTTATCAACTAATCCCGATGATTATCTGTCAAATCATACTTGAAAAATTAAACCTAAGCCGGTCCAAATAAAAGAAAAACACATAGACAAAAATTCAATCATGCAGACAACCCCCCCACACTTACAACCGACAATGTCCCCATTGTCAATTTGCAGGTGGATTACAGTTTTTATAATTGAAAAGAAAAACAAAATGGAAACTAAAAGAAGTAAAAGAAAACATACTGAACACAGTGAAAAATCACTGTGTGTCCGGTGGTGGTGGTGGATCGGTATCAGCTCGGCCGGCTTGGCAGTACTGGATGTGCGCTCAGTGGTTTTGGTCCGTCGGTTCCGAAATTCCATTTTTTATTATTATTATTATTATTTTTTTTTTATAATTATTATAGAAAAACAACACACTTATATAAAAAAAACTGACCTCTACAATACTAGCCGCAAAGAGGTCATAGAAATCGGCTAGGGTGTACTATTAGTACGGTGCACCAGCGAACACTTAAGGCGTTGAAATACCTGATGGTCTTTTAGAGCCAGATTCCAAGGCTTTGACACGCTCGAGATCCTCTCGTATTGTGTAAGCTAGGTCGGAGTTCTTGCGCGGTGGTCCGTCGGACTGTATCCTAAAGGGTCCCACGCGTATTAGCTCCGCATGGTCGCTACTGCTACGAGTCGGAAATGTTGCGCATCGGTGATCGGTTGTGTGGAGGAAAGCTCCGCAATGTAGGCAGCGATTATAACGTCTAGCACGACGCCTTTGTGCTTTCCTACTGGTTCCTCCGAAAGGACGGTTGATTGGTTGTTCATGAGTGATGCACTCGCAGATGCGTCGAATGATGTCGGGCGGTAGCGAAGGTTTGGCTAGGTGCAACAGAATCAGTGTCTTGAGAGCTACTTTAGGCATGATCGGTTGAATGTGTGCAGAGATTTTGAGAG